TTTTGGTGACAGTGACATCTGATGCTGCTAGTAGATGTAGAATGAATTCTGTAGATTTTCCTCTCCTCCTGATTTTAAATATTACCAGGCAACCGTCCTGCCCAGACATTTTAGAAGAGCCCTAATTCAAATGGGATATTGATTTTTAATAATTTCAGATATTTTAAATGGTACCTTTTTTGGAGTTTTCGTTGGTTTATGTGTTTTGCCTGAATTAATTCACCTGAATTTAAAATTTTGATGCTAAAGAATATTACCTTCTTCAATGACAGTTTTGGAATTTAAGATTCTGGGTGTAAGGTTTGGGGTTGGAGGTCATTCTACTGGGATGAATAAAGGGTGGGACCTCAGGAAATAAATTGGATGCTTGTTCTTACAAAGAAATATGGCAGTAAACTGATTTTCCCAAATATACTGATAGGATCCGTTATGAAAAGAAACATATGTATGTGTTTTAAAAATTATTTTACTTAAAAGAATTTTAACATAAATTTTAGTGTATAATTAATAGCTTATAACTTATTGAGATCTTAGCTGGAAGCTTATATTTTTACTTTTCCCAGTCACATATTTTTCCGTTAGGGGTTTTGATAAGAATCTTTGTCAACCCCTTGTTTTTCCAGAAAACTAAATGATCAGATAGATTTGAACAGATGTATGGGGGCATCACAGGATCATTACATGCCACCTTCATCTTACATAGACTCGTTATTTACAGAAACAGTGGGTTTTGCGATTAACTAAATTTATGTTCATTTCTCTGTGGTGTGAAGTGTGAATCTGTGTGGTCCTAAGTTTTGGCTCTGTCTGCCTAGCTAATTTTTTTCTTTAATTGATGTCAGTCACGTATAAAGGCAAAAAAAATCACCCATAGAAACATTTTTTTCCTTTTCTGTAGGAACAGTTACCCTGTGGAGATTATTATGTTACAACAGTAGACAGATAGACATCCTGTTTATAGATTAATAAATGGGTTCTTCACCAAGTTGCCAATCTTATGGGTGTTCTCTGTATTAACTCTCCAACTAATGATGATGGAGTATACATATTCACATTCATCAAGATGACATAAGTCTGAGATGATTGGACAAAATACTGCTCAGAAAGAATGTGCCAATAAATATTCTTAATCTGCACCAATGTAGCTTCCATTACAAATAAAATATAGATATTGCATTATGAGCAATGAGTGTCCTGCCTTGAAAACAATTATCTGTTAAGCTGGGAAGGCAGTTTTGTAACCAAAATATTTCTTAACAGTCAATTTTAATAGCTCATTTCTTAAGTGAGCTCTCTCTCTGTCTCTGTCTCTCGCTGTCTCTGTCTCTCTCTTTCCTGAAGTCTTTTGAGGCTTCCAGTGAAAGCGTAGTACCAAAATCCCCTTGCTCTGTTTTTTCTTTTAGCTTCAAATGGCTCTGTGGCCAAATTACACATCATAGTAGTTTTTGCAAGAGCTATTTTAAACACAGGGCACTCAAAAAGAACCTTGCATTTGCCATTCTAAATGCTCAAATGGTTTTTGTAATCCTGGCAATGGTTCTGATTCTCAGTTCAAAAGGATTTGGAAAATGTCTCTGTAAAAAGATAAAAAAAAATGTCTGTGCAGTTCCCTTGAATCTCTGTGTTCTTCCGTCCTTTTAATTTCTTGTCTCCTGTACCTGCTTTTAATGCCAAACAGTACTTCCATCTTTAGATTTTACCTTCTCCTGAAAATCCTGTTAATAGTTGACTTTAACCACCACCACCATGTTTACTGACAACTGGGGAAGCATTTGTGTCCCACACTTTGACTGGCCGAGGCATTCACCTAAATAGTGCAATGATTGACATATCTGACATATCTGGGGAGAAGGACCCTAGATTCCTGTGTCACCTAACCACCCAGTATACCAGCTCCTGAACACTTTTCTTGACAGTTCTCTGGGGATCAAATTTTCCACCCTTTGACTCTTCTGCAAAAAATGACTAAAGTTGGGTATTCTAAGTTAGAACACAGATCCTCTGCTAAAGCTCTCATAAGCTCGAATCCATACTATTTGACCAGATTATTCTTTTCATGAAGCACTATATAAGCCTAATGCCTCATAGAATACACTTTAGAAAGCTTTGACTTAAGGAAATAGACACTCGTCTTGGGAGCAAGTATGGCTTTATAATTTATATGGTTCAGTATGCATAGTATCTTTTAACCTGTTAGAATAAACCAGTACTCATAATGGAAGGTGCCTTGGTCCTATCTAGTGCTGGAAGTGCATATTCAATTTTTAAAAAAATTTTAATATACCTAAACATGCATAGTTAATGAGATTGTTAGTGATCATGCTGGATGTGAATTGGGTTTTCTGACTGATATTTTCTTTGTGTTGAATAAAAGCCATTAAAAGAGGAAATTGTTGACAGACTAAATCTTTAAGTACTAATTATCAAAATATGTGTCAGGTAACTCCAAAGTTAGGGAGACAAATCTATAACACACTTGCTTTGACTGTTTCCTCCACCACAATAGCAGGCATTGTTAGTAGGTCACAGAGCTCTCTGAACCAGGACGTGGCTCCATCATTAGTCTCAACACAGCACTTTGAATAGCCACTCACACAGAGTTACCATACCTCCCACTGGCCATTCCATGGTCTGATATTTAAAATCTGTATCAACAGTGATGTCTCTAATGGCATAATTCTCCGTTAGAATTTTCCTGGTCATAGACATAGAAATAATAGCTTTGGCAAAGGGATAAATTTCAACGCATCAGAAAGGGGAAAAGGGGGGCTTACCAGTCTGAAGAGAGGGGTCTTATAAGGACATCTTTCCCAGTTCAGGAGGGACTCTGGGTTTTGGACTCACACCTACAGCATCATGACCCCTCCATAGTCCTATCTAAGTAGGGATTGCAAACCACAAACTCTGGACAACTCTTTTATCAGTAAACAGGGAACATTTTGTGTTGTAAAGAACCAAAACTATTGGTCCACAAAACTATAAAAGATATCTTACCTCTGGTCCATTTTAATTGAGCAGTGAGATTTGAAAACAAGAAATAGTTGGACACCAGAATATAGAACTCAGGACTGTGCCCTTGAAGCTTGGAAATAAAACCAAAATAGAACTGGGGCTCTTGATTAGTCGTAGAAGTGACTGAAAGACAGTCTGAGGGAGTGGAAAGACCATGGACTTTGAAGTAAGACTGACTTGGTCCAAATCCTCACTCCACTGGTTAATATCTGTGTGCCCTTGGACAACTTATTTAAGCTCCTTGAGTCTCAGCTTACTTGCCAGGGAAGGTTGTAGTTCATCACTCTTAGCACCTAGGAAAATTAACATGCAATAAATGCTAATCCTCCATATACCATTTTACTTATTCTAGTGAGGAGAAGATTGCAGGATACACATATGGTGAAGAATTCAGGAATAAGTAAATAGAACAAGGATGAATTAGACACATTTTCCTTGTTTCACCCTGGATGGTCTCAGAGGTCAAGCTTAATGGAAACTTGGCTCTCCAACAAAGTATTGTTCATCCATCAGATGTCATTTCCATGCTATCAGTTTTGGGATAACAGATAGATATTCCAAAGTTGGAATAAAATGGTTGGGTGTTTATCTTGATTAATTAAAAATACTGAAATGTTGTTTGGGATTCAGAGTGATGTTTAAGATATTTCCTTTTCTGAGCTTTTCAGGTTGGATTGTTTACTAAAAGCATTTCTTCCTCGGAAGAAACTAAAAGGGCAGAGTGGGCAGGTGTTTTTCAAGAAATACTGTTGTTCTCATGTCATTTGTAAATCTGGACATCATTTGCTTTAACCCAAGGATCCTAGGGCTTGATTTCATACAAAAGAAAATAATTTCAAACTTCAAGAATAAACAGAAAGTAGAAAAGCAAGCTGTAGAAGCTCACTCAGATTTCAGCAAAAGGCAAATCTGGTCCCAAGTGGACTGATCTGTCGGCTTATTTGTAAGATTACAGCAAATCCCAAGATTGAATGCCTCACCTGAATCACTTCCTTATTGACTGAATCCATTTAGACTCCCCTCTAATTTAGCAGAGTGTTTTTATTAAAGCCAGGCATACAAACATCAATTTCCCAAGCTGCATCTAATTTCCTTCACCATTTATTTTCCTTCGTTGGCCGCCAATGGATTAGAAGACATGATTAGAATTCAGCAGG